TTCACGGGTTAACAATGTGACGCATTGTCGTGCACCCTGAAGGTTTTCACCATTATCGACTCTCGACAATGGTAGTGTTTTAAAAGCCCATTACTGCGGAGCACACACCGAGATGCGCGTCGTGAATGCCCGTGATTCGGTGCGGACAACGAGGGGCCCTTGTGGTGACACACTCGAAGCCGGCTAAAAGAGGAGAGCGGTAGGGATTTGTGTTTCCACTGCAGAGTCTGCCCGAGGTCATCTTGGTGGGGTTTAATATGCTGCTCCACCTCGGTCGGAGACGAAGCAGATGCAGTCTTAAGCAAGCTCCCTCCTCGTGCCATTAGCTTGACGCGTGTTCCACAGATGATGGACCGGGCCTAGGCAGTGGTTGTTCACGATTTGTTTTCGACCACCAGTTATACTGACGGCACCGGCATTGGCAGTGCCTGGTACATGCACGGCTCTTTTATCAATCCAATTGCTAGATGACAGTTTCACCATGCCGTGCAGTGAATGGGGAGGTGGGGGGGTTGATCATGTTTCGCCACGCTGGTCAATGCGATTGACATTAAACTATTTTTTTATTTTACCAGACAAGGCCCAGTAAGCTCGATCGTTCTTTTTTCAGAAGCTACATAGCAACAAATGATGGCTAAACGAAGTGGCTTAGGATGTGGATAAGGTGGGGAGCAAATACCTGGGAGCATAGAAGTACAATACAATCTTTCGATTTAAAGCTTTCGTGACTGCAGGGATTCATCTTCTTGGTTCTTTCGGTAAAGTCACGTAGAATGGAAATAATAAAATCAAGGATTGCATACTGATGTACCCCCCCTGGTGAGACACTGCTTAACCAACACATACTGCACCTGGAATGGAACTTTCTACAAACAAACTGAGGGCACCCCAATGGGCTCCCCACTATCTCCGGTTGTAGCCAACGTTTTCATGGAGTAATTTGAGACTGACGCCATCCAGACTACCACTCTACGCCCGACCTTATGGAAGAGGTACGTGGATGACACTTTTGTCATCTGGCCACATGGCCGGCCTGCTCTAGACCAATTCCTCGACCACATCAATTCCATACACCCAGCCATCAGATTTACCATGGAAGTCGAAAAAGATGGCAAGCTACCCTTTTTGGATGTCCTAATTAAAAGGAGACTTGATGGTTCAATGAGCAACTCTGTCTACAGGAAAGCTACCCATACGGATGCTTACTTAAAAGCGGATTCCCACCACCATCCATCCCAGAATAATTCCCTCATGAAGACTCTATACCATAGAGCCCAATGCATCTCCGACCAGGAACACATTGCCAGTGAACTCAAGCACGTACACCAAGCTCTCAAGGCTAATGGTTACTCCGACTACACAATCCGCAAAGCCATCACTCCAACCATGAAGAAGGATCCTCTTGAGGAGCCATTCAAAACCATCACCTTACCTTACATTGCGGGGGTCACAAAAAAGATCTAAAAAATCCTGAATAAACACAAGATCCAGGTCCGATTCAACACAGTGCATAAAATCCGTGATCTGGTCCCGTCTGTAAAAGATGTGGTTCCAGACATACAGTACCCGGGCGTCTACAAACTAAGATGCCTCTGTGGTAGCAGTTACATTGGAGAAACCAAACGACATATCTCAGACCGCATCCGTGAACATAAAGCAGACTTGAAACACGGTAGGACGAACACCTCAGCCGTGGCAGATCACTGTTATAATTCAGTGGGCTCACATGACATTGACTTCTCCAAGACGGATGTTCTCTGCAAGCCATCCGGCTACCATGAGAGATTCGTTCATGAGGCCATCTACATATACAAACACAGAGACAATTTCCACCGAGAAGATGGATTCTGACTTAGTAATCATTGGAAAGACGTGATAAACCATTTCGGTTCTTGATTGGTTGTATTTTACGGTGACTTTCAGACCGCAGTCCATTCGCTGGCACTGCCTCTTAGTACCTTTCACACGACGGTCAATGGTATGGTTTATAGCATATTGTATAATAATAAATAGTATAACAGTGTAATATTTAACATAATTCATAAGGCAATATATAGTATCGTAATTGTATAGTGAATATACAGCAGTGTGGTATACAGTAGGGTTGGTAGAATAATACATCGTGTAATATTACAAGTCTAATAATTTTATAGTCTAAAGTATAGCGTAGTGTATAGTAACGCATTGTATCATTCAATGGTGGGGTTTGTCTATGGCAGTGTATATGACGGTGTATAGTCATGTAATGTAGAAAAAAGTTTAGTTGGAGGCATATCAATATAATGCATGTTAGAGCTTACATTCGGCTGTGTGTACGATATTATACAATGTAGTTTAGATTGGAAGGTATAATATTGTAATGTATAGTAGTCTAGTTTATAGCATAGTTGTAACGCACCACAGGACAGAGCAGCGCATCGTGACTGTTTCTCTCTCTCTCCCCCCTCCTCCGTTCCGAGCATAGATGGACTCGTCAGTCTGAACAAAGCTCGTCGCTTTCCGTGGTGCTAACGTTGAGGAAAAAAGAAACAGCCACTTTTTTCGACATAGAATTGTAATGACTTGATTTGAAGCTTTCGTGACTGCAGGAATTACTCTTTGGTTTTTTCGGTAAAGTCACGTATAAATAAGAAATAATGAAATAACATAATAGCGTACAACGTTTCGGTTGCAACACAAGCAGCCATCATCAGGTACAGAAGAGCTAAATTTATGAGAGAGGGGAAACATATAACCTCGGATGTATATACAGACGCTAAATTTATGAGAGAGGGGAAACATATAACCTCAGATGTATATACAGACACCCAAGTAGGGGGAACTGACACAGATACAACAGGGGACACAGAGAGAGAAGCATACCAGACAAACAGGGTTTATCAAAATTTTGGAAACCATGTACAGCAACACAGATGGTCTTGTGCTTGTCTCTGTGCTGGTTCGCTCTACTTAGATGTGTGTGTGTGGTCTGTATTTGAGTTTTATACTTACCTTGCAATTTAGCAATCTTTCAAATAGGGTGATCAACCGGATTAAGCGTTGTGTTTTGACCGACCGTCTGTGTTGCTTTACATGGTTTCCAAAATTTCGATAAACCCTGTTTGTCTGGTATGCTTCTCTCTCTGTGTCCCCTGTTGTATCTGTGTCAGTTCCCCCTACTTGGGTGTCTGTATATACATCTGGGGTTATGTGTTTCCCCTCTCTCATAAATTTAGCTCTTCTGTACCTGATGGCTGCTTGTGTTGCAACCGAAACGTCGTACGCTATTGTTATTTTATTATTTCTTATTTATACGTGACATTACCAAAAAAAAACAAAGAGTAATAGAATTGTAATGTATAATGACTTATTGTTAGTAGCTCAGCTGATTGGAGAGAATATTGAGTTTATTGATATTGATATAGTTTATATTTTAGTTTTTTTTTATCAGTTTACTATATGGTATTCATTATATAGTGTAGTGTATACCCAGTTACTTTATGTTAAAAGCTCAGCTTATTGGAGAATATATTGAGTACATTGATATTGATGTTGTTTATATTTAGTTCTTTCACCTCGATTTATTGTATGATAGTTGGGTAGTTGCAGTTCTTTAGCATCAATATACTAAATGCCTCTGTTGATATGTAAAACTCTGACTTTAACATAGCTACTTCCGTGACCAGTTACATGCTAATCCCCCACACTAACATCGTGCTAATCTCCCAGTTACATGCTAATTTCTCACTTTAACATCCTGCTAATCTCTTAGTACCTTTCAGTGTAATGTTTAATATAATCTCCCAGTTACATGCTAATTTCTGACTTTAACATCCTGCTAATCTCTCACATTAACACAGCTACTTCAATGCTAAATTCCTCTGTTGATATGTAAACTCCTTTGTCAAGGCGCTCTGCTCCTCCCACCCAGCTTAAAAGACGCTGCCAAGCTTAGCAGTGTTCATTGGAGCGCTGTCTTTCCGACAGTTCTGTTTCTTCACCTGAGGAAGGCTACTTGTGTTGTGGCCGAAACGCCGTGAGAATTTTATTGTTTTATTTTTATTATTTCCCTTCTACATTACAATCGTTGATTTTTCTGCACTGCCCTCTTTTGGCCACCACGTAGCCCCCCCCCCCCCCCCCCCCCCCCCCCCCCCCCCCCAACCATTCGCAACGTTTTATGTGCACGATGCCCGCCCATCGGAGCGCCGTCTAGCTCGGACTCAACTCTGCTTTGGCTTCTGAGATTAAACGCGATCTGGTGCATTGTGGGTGACGGTTCTCGTATACCGACGTTTACATTGCTTGAACTCTGTATTCTCCCGTTGAGAGGTGGGTGGAAGGGCGGTGGTTCAGCGATTGGCGCGCTGCGCTCGTACGGCCAGCAGTCGGTTGACAAAAGGGCCTGAAATGTAAGTCTATTACACGTTCTTTTAAGGCATTTAAATTGCGATGGTGGCGAGTGGGTTTCTTTTGTTGTTCTGATTCCGGATGTTTTCTGCTTGTTGCTTCTCTGATGACCTGTTGTGTGCAAGACACGCGAGGTGGGATTTTTTTAATGAAATGTAAATGCGGTGAGAGATGGTCTCAGGGCAGCTCTCGTGCAATTAAGAGTCATTTGGCAGTGGGAGGTTGAGTGTGGCGACAAGATCAATAACCCTTAAAGTGTAGCATCAGGACTGTCCGAGGATGTAAATACAAATGACGTATCGATGTCTTGCTGCAGAATGTGTCGAATAGCTTAGTTCAGAACACAAACGCCGCACGGCGATCGTAATTGTTGACGACGCACGTGTATAACACCGCCGTACTGAAATAATTTCGTATTTTACCTTACGATTGTTTACAATTGCGCCTTTAAAAAAACACATCGTATTACGTAAAACTCTCCAGCTGTTTGGAATTAAGTTGGGTAATGTTTGAAGTAGTTGCAAAGAGCTAATTGCTTCTGCTGTGTTGTCTACGTGTCGTAACCACATCTATTTCCGGTACATGAATGGTCAATTAGAACTTACATTCCAGGGAAATGGTTTTATTTTCACTCCATTTGCATTCTTACATTTTTCATCCAGTGTAAAAACAAATGTACATTTTTGGTTAAATGTGTTAATATTCTTCACGGGGATTTATCTCTGGATATTACAAGCAATATAATTTTATTGGATTTTTTATTCATTGTAAAACTTTAACGATTCCTCTTTTTTTCACTCCACTTCAAAGCTGTATTGCCCCTTGGAATTGGGCGAGCCGATAATCATGGTGTTGGGGTCATCGCAGGAGGAATTGCCCAACAGATAACAACACTCCATTCTAAGAGTTGTTCTGGGCAAGACACGAAAAATTATTCCAATAGTCAAGGGGTCAAAGGTTATCAAGAGGTCAACAATTGGCATTTGCACCACTCCCACATCCATTACCATTTTACTCATGCTCTTCGTGCCAGAGTTGCGTTATATGTCTTATTAAAATGAATTGCACAATTACACAAATCGTATATAAAGACGTTTGGGGAAAACAAACCCTATTTGATATAAACAGATTGTAGGGATTTAAATCCAACCGTTTTGGAGTGTCATGGAAAATGGCCCGATGGAAATTCAGTCTGCAGCTCTGTAACAGATGACTCACTGTACGTTATTATTCTTTATCAGCCATGGGCATCTGCCTGTCTCAAAAAACCTCTGGTCACAAAACATGTTTTTGTAGACACCACAATGAACCTTATGCCCTCAACATCAGTGTCCCCTACTCTGCTCCCACACGGACTTGAGAGTTATCCTGCACTGCGGACACGAGCAACCTGTACAATGTTTGCACTGTGTTTAAATGGGTTTTACACTAACAAAATAAGTGACCAATGGGAATAATTTGGTAGGCTGATTAAGTTTATTAACATACTTTGAATGGATACAGTTGAAAAATGTTTAACAAGAAGTGCAATAAAACAACAAAGAAGACTTACTTATGTATATAATCTGGTACCCCAATATGGCAAGCTTTACAGGATAAGTCGTTTACATGAAGTTCTAGTTGGTATGTTTTTACTACACATATATTGGAAAGTCAATAAAATTGAAGGTCCTCGAACGACATTCAGAACAAACCTAAAGTACTCCTCATTGTCAGTTTGCTATGGTAAGCCTTCTCTTATCCATCAATTACCAAGGAATAATCTTACATGTACACAAGACAAAAGCTGGGGTCTGCTTCCAGGTGAAATGAATATATTAGCAAGCAATCCCTCTCCCGTCCAACGCAATTCTTCATGTTTTATTGTGGGGTCCACGAGGGGAGTTTAAATAGCACGTTATCAAATCATGCTGTAGACAGTGTGCCCAGAAATAACGGCTCATTAATGGCAGAATGCTAACAATAATAATAATCATCACAACATGGTAATTTGCATCCTCTTTGTTTTTCATAAGCTTGCATAAACTGTAGTGATTAAAACCATATTTTAAATTGGTCCAGTCATTTTTGTCCAGTATAGGAATGATAAAAAGATTGTAATACAATAAAATGAAAAAAAAACTATCTAATAAAATATTCCAAAAGAAACACACCCTACTACCCTTCTAAAAAGCTGCCTCACAGTAAATGTCATTACCGTAAAGAACTAATTAACTCTTAATCACAGTAAGGATACGTTCCATGACATAGCTACACCACTGCATGCTGACTTTAATGTCGTGTTCGGTCTACAACCAGCGATAACAAAACTGCCCGGTTCATCCTACATTAACGTCTTTTGAGGGCTACCCTACGCCCGCTTTATCAGCCATAAAAATTATTTGCAAAACACTGTTCCAAAGTTTTAACTAACAGTAGTGACCTTCATATTCCCGTGTACACAACGGATCGACGTGTAGAGCCATGCGGCCGGCAATGTAGCGTCTACTTCTTCATCTTAAGGAAGCTAAACCTTTTCTCCCGATCCTTCTCCTTCTTCTCAGGGCTGGTGGCTTCGCTGGGAGGGCCGGACGGCATGGTCTTGGAGCGCATGGGCGCCTGGCTCCCTTGGCTGCTGGGCGAGCTTGAGTCCCGGCTCGAAGCTGCTGCCTTGATGCTGTGTATCCAGTTGGCCATCTCCTCCTATGGGCCGATACACACGTCAGTTTGTGAAACGGGGGTTGTCTCACACCCCAGCCACTAAGACCAATGCAACCGTATTTCCTTCTATCCAGTGACTTGCATTTCCAGGGTTGGTGGATCACAAGCTGTGAGGTTGCCAGAAGATGACAGGACATCAATGGATGCAGTGCACGGATGTATTCACTCAATTGGGACACTGTGGATTGAATATATGTGTGATGTTGAGAACGTCATCCTTTTGAATGCATGGGTTTTAGTTACTCTGGTGTCCTCCCACATGCGAAAAACGCACTAAGAGAATTGACCAAACATCTCAATGTAGCCAGCACTCTCCTGAAAAAATCTTTAAACTTGGAGAGACTTTCCTAGCTAAGTAAGGGCATTTAGCCTGCATTTCAGAATACCTGCGGGCAAAATGAGGTGGCTCCTGTAAGTGGTGGTACAATACAACAAGCAGGTTGCTGATCTATCTGTGTGTAGTACATGTATCCTTGACTCAAATGTGGGTTTTTTCTCACGTGCAAATACACGAAGTGCTTGCCACAAATGAACCACAATACCTTACTGATCTCGTCAAGGAGCATAAACCATCAAGCGAACACCGGTCACCCTTGTTTCGTTTCTTTGGCTGGCCATTGAACAAAGACTGACTGCATCGCATGCTTTCAGATGCCCTTCTGCAGCTGTCTGGAATGTTCTTCCTTCTGATATTAGGAAACCACTGGAGCTATGCACTTTTAAATCTAGATTGAAAATACAATTATTTAGAACTGCTTTTGTGTTTAGTTTGTTGTCCCTTCCCTGCACCTTTGATTAGCACGGTTGACTACGCACGGTGCAACAGAAGTTCAATATACATACATAGATACTCTGTTCATGCAATTTACTATCCAGAGAATGATAGGGTCTTAATTCAGCATAGGCAAGAACACGTTGGAAAGTGGAGAGAAAATCTGATGTGCTGAAGCAAGAAGCTCTGTTAATTAATAATCTCTTGTCTCACCATACCATTCACATTAACATATTCCCTTAATATTCCAGTTATATTACTCACATCATCTTTGGCCTGAAGCAGGTAGTCATTTCCATCAGGAAGCCTGGAAAAGTAGAATTTAAAAAAACATAAAATTTTTCATATATTCAGGCACTCAATTGTAAAAAAACCAGCAGCATAATGTAAAGCAACATTTTGTGCACAAACTCGTGCTGTTGCTGCTGTATTGCCTTGTCACGGCCAACAGACGAAATCCTTCTCTCGTATGATGCACACATTCTTCTCAGCTGATGGGGTCCAACATCAACTGGAGTGGACGTTAAAATTGCTCTCTCTCGCGAAACAGACACAATGAACCTCTCATCTCGCTCACGAGCTCTGCCTTACGAGATGGTACAAAACACGCTGGACAGAGCTCTTGGTGGTGTTGTGGTCAGCCCCGTGATTATTCTTCACAACAGGAAATGAATGACACTTACTTAAGTCTGAGCACGTGCTTCTTCTTTTTGTAGTCCGAGGCAACGTCACACACCGCGTTGGCCAAATTGACAGGGATTTCATTATGGTAGGTGTTTCCAGTGTTCATGTTCTTGGAATCCTTGTAGAATCCAAATTCTTGGTTGTGCAGCACACAGTAAAGTGTGTGCCAAGACCTAACAATGGAAAAAACATTGTTTATTAAAATGAATGTAAAAAACACCCATGGTCATTATAGCTATTAACATTTCAATTTGACAAATGAATATACAATTCACTCTGCTATCCATTAGTTAATGTGGTGTGTGGCTTCTGGGAGTGCTACCATTTGCCCCTGAATGAATGTCTTTGTACACATTAAGAAGGCCAAACAAATAAATCTCCTTGCACATGTACCATTAGTCACCCCCCCCCCCCACACCATTGTGTTACACGTCTTGGAATTGGCCGTCCCATTACAATGCATACATACCCGTGTACATTCCACTGCAGTTGAAAACACAAGAAAACATGTAGGCTAGCAATTAAACATTTAATTCCCAGCCAGTATGCAGATGTAGAGGATGCAGGAGGCTGGCATTGGACCCTACCTGCTGGACGCCTTCTTGTTATGCGACTCCCACTCGTGTTTTCGCAACAGGAAGCCTTCTTTGCGGAAGGCTGATGCCTCCTCGGCCTTGCCAGGCAATGTGGACACAGACTGAGAATGCAGCGTCTGGGGCTTCCGACGGTCGGACGATGGCGATGGCTCCGGGGTCAGCTTCCTCGCACCATCTGCCTCGTTGTCGCCATTGCCGTTCACCGATGGATCCAGCATGTTGGAGCCCTGCTGGAAAGATGCAGCACGCAGGTTACCAAACGAGCTTGAGAGATGCATTGGACAAGGGGTTTACAACACCCGGTAAGTGGCAAATACTTTGAAAGAGTGCGATCTTTGATGGGCAAGCATGTTGAGCATTTCTTCTGTCATGTTTCCAAGCACAACTATCAGCATCTTTAGGAGATGAACTCCTAATGATACCCGCAGTTGTGCATGGCAAATGCTTAAAAGGAAAAATGCTCAACACGCAGCCAAACTCGGTTGAGTGGCTGAGAAAACACACACGATAACCTTTGGGTAAATTTTTCCACAAAATATTAGTATTTTAGATTTTTACCGTATTTCCCCAGCATTAGTTGAAAATACGTACACAGAGGAGCAACTATTGCCGTCGGATTATTAATCTTCGATCTGTTAAATATAAGTAAATGAATATGATCATGATCGAATTTAGACACTAGAGCTGTATACATCGTAATAAATGCGCATCCATCATAAACGTCAAACACGGGCAGGGGAGCACATCAACCCAGACACTCCAACATGCACGGTGCAGTGAAGATCAAAACAAGCAGAGTTGCACACAGGGTAGGCACACACCTGGCACTACATATTAGCGTAGGCAATTCCGTTTAGAAGCATGAAAGGCATGTACAAAGATTTGTATATAAAGGCCACTGCATACAGAGGCTAAATGGCGCAGTAAATGATGGGGAGCACTGCACACTATGATGCGCGTTTACCCAGTGATGAGCGCCTGAGCCAAGCGATGTGCCCTCGCGATGAGCAGTCGCTCCCTGCAGAGACCCTACGAGTGTTCTGCTCTGGTTCATGCACCATGCCCCCAGGCTACAGTATTTAAAATGATCCCTTTGTCAAGAGTAATTTGACCAAAGCAGCCTTTTGAATTATTGATAACCTTTTTATTTTGGCATTTAACACGCGACTCGAGTGCTGTTAGGATAAAGGAGGCCTTTTGAATTGCGTCCATTTTAAATTATGAATATGTATAAGAAATCTTACATGTTGTATCAGAATTCATTTAAATAAATAAATATGCAACAGGCTGTAATTTTTAATTGGTCAGTGTGCATATTGTGTTTTAACGAGGCATACTAGAATGAGGCAATGATATAGTATTTTATTCTTTCACGATCTTTCAAAAATCTCCATTAAAATTAATTCAATGATAATTTGCATTTCCATGATGATCAACATATAACCACGATGATGGAAACATGTTCAAGTGTAATAGCATATGCGCATAATTAGAATACGTATTACATACGTCATTTAACTATTAAACAAGTATTACCTCCTGTGCTGCTCATCTGGTCATGGTAAATGTTCACGGTTCAGAGTCAAAGCGAACCGTGATAAACATTTGTTAAATGCAAAAACTGTGTGCAAATTATTAAGCGGGAGTGACTTGGTTAGTGACGAACCCAGCCTTTAATCAGATGTTAGTGACAATGCTATCCTCATCCAACACTCGCTTTAATAAGGAAGAACGTAACGTTATACACAAGTAGGCTTCATTTCCAAGTTGTATAGCACACATGCAATGATTTAAATATGACAACAGTACGTGTTCTGCAATATCAATAAAAATACAAATGTTAACACGTGAGAATATTTAAATAGGAAATAATGTCATATAAGCAACAATGTAACGTTCACAACTCTGCGATCCCTTTATTTTTTTAAATACCAAATATCATAAATATATCTTATACTTGCGTGTTTAAATGGCAAAATTGCAATGATATCTCTATCTGTTCTGGTAACAGTGGCGGTGTGGCATGTAGTGTCTGGACCAGTAAGGACTGACCCTGGGTGATTCTTGGTCGGAAGAGATGCCGTTTTGTGTGACCTCTTGACTCTGTATCCTTTGGGAAAAGTGAAAAAAATTGGAATGATCACGTGTAAAATTATTTATTACTAACTTTGTTTACATCTTCCATACAAAATATTGCATGCTGCTAAATTATATTTTAAAAAACGCAATGAAAACCAAAGAGACACTGGATTTAAAATAACTTAACATTACTGACTTGACGAATCTGTAACTTAAGTGTGCTAATACCTCGTAGCGGTTAACACACCTTTGTTGTTCAGCTATATGATGCTCTTCGCGTTTCTTTTCGTCTAACTCAGCCTGCAGTTTCTGCTGCTTCCTCTCTTCATCTTCCTTCTCCTGTTGTTTGCGCAGCTCCAAGAGTTCCAGCTGATGAAGTGAGAAAAGCGGGTGTGCAACAACTTGAAAATGTAACCACTGCCGAAGTAGCATTATCAGCAGCAACAACAGCCGGCGAAGAAACCTCCAGAGGGGATGGGGGGAGGGTTGCGAGGAGGAGGAGGGGGGGGCATCAGGCACGGCCAAGCCACGTGCGTCCTCCCACTCACGGTGGTGTGCTTCTCGAGCACGTTGAATCGCTCATCCCATGTGGAGACGGACTTCTCAAAGGCCTCGTGGCGCTTGAGCAGCTGCTCCACCTCGTCCACGCTCTCGCCGACCTCCTGCGTGGTGATGTGTGGCTCCTGGGCCAGCAGCCATGCCTCGGCAACCCCCGCGTCGCGCGCAAACTGGTGCACCTCGAGGACTGTCGGCAGCAGCAATTGGCATACGTGAGTCTCCGTGAGAACTCGCAGATCAACCGCGAGATAATATTTTGTTTAAAGGCACGAAATAAACGTCTCATTTAGTTATATGAAACGACCCTCTTTGTCAATCCATTGCTGTATGAAAGCCTGTCCACACTTCGCAGCCGTCGGGGGGGTTATTCGAAAATGCGTCATCGGGTGGTGACATGGCCTAGCGGAAAGCGCGTTCGTGACTTGTTGCAGAGGTTCACGGTTCATATAATGAGGAGCCACCCTGGTTATTACTGCAGGTGTATCAACCGAAAAATTATTCATCGTTTGCTTCACAGTGGACGCTAAAGATCCAATTATGCCATTTGCAAGGGTAGGCCATTGTGTGCCGGCATCATGGTCCAAATGTTTAATATTTCCTGGAAATTACTCAATTGGAATGTACAAAATAATCATTACCCCCTACTGCAGAACTTGTCAAGACACTCCTGAAAAAGTCATGGGACTCGGAGAGGCTTTCCTGGGTAAACGAGCGTTATAATAAGAATAAATAATAAAAAGTACTGGTTGTTGAATATGAGGAGCATAGTTGTGGCAGTATAGAATTATGAATACAAGAACTGATTATGCCGCAGTAACCCTCTGCTGTCCACAATGTAGCCTCGCATTCCGGGTGGTTTTGTCATATGCCCCATTCAATGACTTTTAGCTTACCTTTGTAGAAACAGTAAAGGAAACAAGTATCTGCCATAGTATTGTGAAACGTAATTTCCACCATTGCCTCAGGACAATCAATAAATATAAACACCGCCAAACATTAATTCTGAGCAAGGGGGAAATTTTGACCAGAAAGTACTTTTAAAACATTATTGTACTTGTAAAGGGCAACGTAAATACTCCATGACATCCACATAAAATTCACTTTCGTTTACTGCAAGTAATAAACGTGAATGTGTCAGGTGATACAAACGCAAGTGCACTGAATTACATACTCAGTTTGAGCCAGTGGGCTCTCTCCTCCCACTTGCTGACCATCTCCTTTCGCTTGTCAGTCAGCTGACCAAGTTTCTCTTTTATCTGATGGGGAGGGAGATTGATTCAAGCTTTTAAAGAGAAATTTAAAAAACCCATATGAATTGCAATCATGTTCATCATTGTTACCCAACTGACTAAAGTACGTTGGTGTCTAAATCGATGTTTGGTGTGTACCTCGTCTGTTGCGTAGTGTTGACGGGCTAGTAGAGATTTCCCAAGCTCAATGACGGTCGTGAAGTTGTCATTTCGGGTATCAATTTCCGCCTTAATTCCCTGGTGGTTGTTCATCAGCAACTCCACTGAAGAGACATCCCTACAAAAGCACATTTATGCCTCTTGAGAAAAGAAAAGAAAAACTTCCCCCAGTTCCACAGACGATGACAAATAATTATCAATGTTTGTTTTAACAAGATTTGCATTTTAATTTGCGATGTCATCGCACTAACCTCGGCTTCTCCTGGGCGTTGATCTGCCGGATTGTGTTTTCCATCCAGAGCATCAGGTCCCGCACGAGGCTGAAGAAGCGGAACTTCTCGCCAGTGTCAGCTAGCCGCAGCTTGCGAGCTTCACAGGCGTCCAGCAGCCCCTTCCAGGCGGTCACCACCTCTTCCTCCCGCCGCTCGATGTCCTCCACTTTCTCCCCTGCGTAGCTTCCTCTCAATCTCTCCGCATCCTCCTGCAGCACCTTCACCTGCAGGAGAGTAGAGTACAGGGTCGCTTCTTGCCAGGTGTAAAAAAACAACTTAACTAAGCACAATTGTTGAACAAACTGTTATTTTCTTTCTCCAGCTGCTTTATTATGTTTTATCCCACTTTCAAATGGTACCGTTGGCCCTTAAACGCTGATGAGATGGACGCACCTGCACGCCGAGTGCCTGGATGTCGTTCTCGAAGGTGGTGTGCTTGCGCTGTAGGCTCTCGACTGTGTTCTGGTCACGGCCCAGCTCCTCAGGCAGCTGCATTTGCTTCTCGTTGATACGGGACAGCACCTCACGTGCGTCGTGATTGAAGCGATGCAGCTCATACGAGGCGGCCAGCATCTGAGTGCGTGTGTCGATGAGCTCCAGGAGGTCGGCCCATGCCTCGTTGAGGCCATCCTTCCAGTCAGCCACCGAGGCGGAGTCCGAGTGGCCAGCCTCGATCAGCGCGTCTGCGATCCTGTTCACGCTGTCCACACGCTCCTGGCCGATCGTCGCCGTGTCGCGTGCGAACTCCGCAAAACGTTCGCTCAGCATCTGCAAAGGGACACACGATGCCAAAGCGAATCAAACCAAAGAAATGAACTGTGACTGGAGAAATTAATTGCCGTTAGCCCCAGTTAAGCTATTTACGAGCCACATGAACAAATAAGCGTATGGCAGCAACTCACGGTGACGTGTTCGTAGTCCTGGCCCAACTCATGAGAGCCGGCCACCACCTCGCGTTCAGCAATCCACTGCTCCAGGTCGTCCACCTCGCGGTTGAGTTGGAATAGCTTGTGCCGCTCCTCCAGCCGCCCCCGTCGCTCCTCTGCCAGGTCCTTGAGGCCAGCGTAGAGCTTGTCAGCCTGGGACTGTCGCAGCCCAATGCGCTCGCTGCATGCCAAAAAAAGCAGGAAACTTATACGTGCCTCCTGCCAAATTAGGATATTTTTATTTCATTGTTATATTCATATTACAGCATATCAACTATTCATTTTGCTCATGGTATATATTTATGGATATTGAAACTTGACAATAACTGCTAAACTTTCAATAGGTAAAGTAAGGTACCTTTCTGGATGCCTGGAAGTGACGAGGTTGCGACTGGTTTCTGACAGCTGGTGAATAACATCCGAGTAATTCTCCACCGACTGCTCCAAGATCTGATGCTTCTTCAGCATGGCCACGGCACTCTGCTCGTCCTGGGTGTGAAAACCAAACACGATTTCCAAGTGCATGCACACGAGCCTACGCACGTCCGTTCAAACGATCACATTACATCGAGCGGTGCTGACTGTGCTTTCCGCACTACCGAGCCGTACCTTGGCTTTCTCGTCGGCGATCATATAGAGCTCCTGCTCACTCATCCACGCCTCCGCCTCAGCCACATCGAAGTAGTACTGCTGGGCCTTGAGGGACTCCTCAAGCCGGATGTGGCGGTCTTTGGCCTCCACGATCATGGTGGCCCACAGCGCCCGCAGGTCCTCGAGCCTTTCATGGATGGCCTCCGGGTCGACGCTGCCGCGTGCAATTAGGTCTTCACCGCGTTCGCGTATGTCCTCGATGCGCGGCTCGTGACCCTGGATCTCCTTCTGCAGGTTCTGCATTCACACAGTGCCAATTTCTGCAATTGAGCTTGCCGCAGTGCTATGTTGTGCAGGCGTTTGTACAAACAGCATTACAAGTGACAACACCTCAACCGGTGGCAACGTAAGGTTCTTCCATCAATTACCTGGTTTTTCTTGATGAGCAGTTGGACGGTTTGAAGGTTGTTTCCGTGGTCTCTAGATGCGGCCAGTGGCATGCGCTCTTCCACCCAAAGCTGAGCACAAATTATAGTCCAAAAAAAAAGGTTTTAATGGGTTTGGCAACATGTTACGTTTACAGTTAGATATGTACCAGGTGTGTAGAGATAATTGGGCAGGCATAAATGTATCTTTTCTGTGTGTGTGTGTATGACAGAGCACTTACGATCTCATCCTCGAGGTCCCGGATGTACTGGTGCACCTCTTTGGATGCCAGCAGCTTGTCGCGTCGCTGCTGCAAGGGCGCTAGCACCTGCTCAAAGCGGTTTTCCACCGTGAGCCGTTGGCTATCCACCTCGTCCCGTCCTTTCCCCTCCTGGCACAGCACGGTCGCTTGGCTCTGCAACTCCTCCACCTCCTTCTTCCGCACCTCCATCTGATTCTCCAGCATCTGTCAGGGGTAGCCAGCATTTTAGTGTCTTTGCTTCGCATTGCCGTTCCTCCTGTCAATATACAACCACATGCAGCACAAGACTCGTGTTTTTGCATCATCGCTGCGGGTGTGCTACCTGTTGTTTCTTGATCAGGATGTTAACGCTGGTGAGGTCATTGCCGTGGTCGTCAGAGCTGATCTGCGACTCGATCTGATTGACCCACTTGTCCAGGTCAGCACAGCTTTGCGTGAACAGCTCTGCACGATTTGCGTCAAAGAGCCTCTGGGCCTTGAGCTGTGTGGTGTTCTCCAGCTCATCCCACAGCTCGTGCAGCTCTGACAATTTTTCCTTCACCATCGGCTCAGTCTCCGGCTTCTCCACCATTAGCTGCTGCCCTTCCTGCACAAGCGCCACCAAAGACCAATCAATCAGTTAAATACCTTAAATAAAAACAAGCTAATGGCACATCGAGACAGTGTATTTCTAATTTGGAATTATAAAGGGAACATACATGAATTTAAAAAATCCTTCCTTATTGGACCCACTTTTCCATTTAATGCTTTTTAAATATATCCAATACATTTTTATATGAACTGTGATAGCATGACATGCATGCAGGCGTGCACGTCGTCGGTCGGTGGCTGTCAACCCGGCGTTCTGCAACTATGAGGGGCCTTACCTCATCAATCTTCTCCAGCCACTCCTTGTTGGACGCCAGCTCGGCCATGAAGGCTTGGTGCTTCTGCCACTTGGTGTGCAGGTTCCGTGCCTCGTCGTACGACATGTCCTGGGCTGTCAGCATCTTCTCATTGATCCACAAGGTGAGCTATGGACGAGACAACCAGGGTTTTAGCCAGGGGCAGAGCCAGGATTTTGACTTTGGGGGAGCTGACTTCAATATTCTGAGATATCCAGTGTTTGGTTTCCAATGGGCACCACAAATGTATAAAACAAATTTTATTGGATTTGAACGCGGAGTTTATTAATAGGTCGGAGCCGTTGATGTGGCTAATAAGTTCGATAAGTTCGAAAGGCTGCTGCTCAAGCAGCCTGCAGGGCAGCACAAGGTGGCAGCCTGCAGGGCAGCACACAAGGTGGCAGCCTGCAGGGCAGCACAAAGTGGCAGCCTGCAGGGCAGCACACAAGGTGGCAGCCAGCATTTTGCAGCAGCTGGATATCCGGTTATCCCAATTACCGACTTTACTAAAATTTCAGGGGGGGCTAAGCCCCCCCCCCCAGCGCCCCCTGCGGCTCCGCCCCTGGTTTTAGCACCTGTTTAAGTTAAACCTGGTGTTTTCCGAAGTCTTTGTTAACACAACCTCGTTAATGGACCACCAGGTGGCGCTCTTAACTTCTACAACAGTGGTTACCGACCTGTGATGTACGCTTTTTTATTTTACCAGGTAAGGCCCGCCAAGCTATAGAGCTCTTTTTCAGAAGCGATCTGACCACAAACGATAGCTCAACAAAGTGGCTTATCATGTGGAAATATATAGCAGCCAAATACTCTAAATGCATGTTTCTAAAATGTGGAGGGAAAAACAGAAGGACCATGGGGAGAACAAGAAAACTCCAAATATACAGGTGTCAGGTCAGGGATCAAACCCACGAACTCCTTTATACCAGGCGAAGAAGTTAAACGTCTCGACACCGTGGCACCCACACCATTGGTATTGGTCCGCAGAACTATTATTACAAATTATTGCACTTGCTTATCTAGGAAAGCCTCAGCGAGTCTCAAGCAACAAGCCAATTGATTTAGCACTTGACAGCAATTAGGGGGCGATGATAGAAATGTGAATTTCAATTGAGCAACTTGCGGTGTCGTTTTTTAAAGTTTGGATCACAAGGGCACACAATTGGCTGCTCATGCAAATCACGTCACTGGATCTTTAATGTCGACTGTGAAGCAGACCGCAACGTATTTTTACTGTTAATACACCTGCAGTAGTAAATCGGGGTGGCCGCTGTATTCAAACCATTAACCTCTGCATCAAGCGGCGAATGAGCTACCATTGCATATATGATTTTCTACACAAAGCACCTATTTTTTTTACTGCCCACTGCTCCGCCATTTATATTCCGCAAAAGCAAGTTCGTACATTTCATAGCCCCCAAAAGGTTGAGGGTTGACAGTGGTCCATACGTTCATAAAGGTTGGAACCTCTGTTACAGACACTATCTATGGCCACCGAGTGACAACCAGAGTTTAATAATTTACATTTAACATTGTCAGTCGCCAGAACTGGCTGTGCATATCCAAATGCAAGGTGGCGCTTGCGGCCTTGTGTATCAGTCCAGTGGGGATCACAATTACGCAAGTCGAAGCATGTCTATTTAAACACTAGGTGGCGCTGACTGTATTGTAGAGCATATACCACTGGATGGTAATCCTTCACAATTCCAAACACTTAGATGGCTGTTCTTGATGCTGTACAGTGTGGAATGCCACATATCTGAAAACTGATGCTAAAAACTCGTGCTGTTGCAATCGGCCTGCCCAAAAAGTGACCCGCAGGTCAAGGATGGCATTCGTCGTTGTCATACCCCACAATCCCAGTCACATGCTTGCACGCACACACGTGCACTCATGCGGACAGAATGCACACTGTTAAAATCATTAGCGTCCTTTAAGGAGACGCACCATTTGTTCAAACCAGTTTGTCACTGAACAGCAGGCTTGTGCCACCTGTCCGAGTTTGACTGTCCAGATCAACGTGAATTGGCATCTGTGCTTAGGTGGCCAGGAACTGAGTTGTACTGTGATCTGGTGGTTGTGTTGAACTTTATTCCAGTGTACTGCATAGTTATGGTCGACCTGGGCTGCCTAGATAAGTTCGGGTTCGTTCTGTGGAAAAGGTGGCAAGCCCACTAAAGAGGCACATTGAACACATGAACCTTCATTGCGTTCTGTGCAACCAGTCAGTACGCAAAGTTGCGAGTGTTTAAGAAATTAACGAGCTTTTCCCTATTAATCCCAGTACTCACCTCTTGGCAATCCTGCAAGAACCTCTGGAGATCTCGGTTGTCCTTGAGTCGAGCAAGAACATCTTCAGCTGTCATACGGTTCTTCTTATGCCTTTAATAGCCGAACAAAGAAAGGCACAGTAAAGCAAGGCATAATAATGTTAAAAAAATTAGGGACTGCATTGAAAGCAAAGATGAAAACATTAAGCTCGAGAATTGTCTCCAATTGGCATAAAATACATTAAAACTGCATCATAATTATTGTTTTACTCAAATGCATGATGTTAATGCAACACAACTGAAAAGGTATTATTAAAGATGCAATGCTGAAGCACAGGCACACCTTTCATCGATGGAGTCTACCTTCTCCTGGATCTTGTCTGCGTATGTGTTATCCTCGGTGAGCAGCCTCCTGCCGGTCTCCAGCGCGCCGACAATTTTTTCATCGTTCGTGTCCATGGTCGTCATGACGTCCTCGTGGTTCTTGATGGCCTCCTCGGCACTCTCCAAGGTAGCCGGCATCTCAACATGGCCCAGCACATACTCCTGCAGCGCATAAAAACGTCCTCAATTTTTAGACCCATTCGCGCACGCCAGCCGACAAAGTAACAAGACTCCTGCGAGTTACGCACCTGATTGCTGAGGAAGCCGTCTGCTTGGCGGGCATCCTTAAGGAAGGCCTGGAAGCCATGTGACTGGGACAGTAGGCTATGCCTGTTCTCCCACATCTTGTTGAGCTCATTCCAGCCCGTGTCGAGCGCTTGCAGGCGCTGGTGCAGAAACATGTACTGCGGGTCACTCTGATCGCGTGTCACCACTTCGCCCATGTCGCGCATGCGCTGGTAGTCGTCTTGGTAGTTGTCGATCTCGTTCTTGATAGCTTCGTGCTGCGCCAGCAGCTTCTCCGCTTCCGGGAGCGTGTTGGGCATATCCTCCGATGCAATCGCTGTCTGAGCTTTAGACAGCCAGGTCTGCACAATTGGGAGGAAGATGAACAAGTGATTGCTTGTGCTTGTAGTGTACATAGTGCAAGTGTATTATTACAAGCGCAAGAGGTTTATAAACCTCCTCATTACCTGGAAATCATCGAGGTCGCGCAAGAACTGCTGCAGCTTGCTGGCTTCTCCCAGCGACTCCTCTCTGTTCTGCAGCGTCTCCTTCAGGTTGTCCCACACCTGGTTAATCTCCGCAAGGCGGCCCAAGATGGCATCTTCCTGCTCGGGGTGCATCGAGGCCAAACGCTCCGCCTCGCCTTGCAAGTCGGCCAATTTTGTCTGCACAATTACAAAAGAAAATGTAGATTTTTTTTTAATTGAAGGTCATCACTGAGAACGCAACATCAAACACTGGTTTTATTTTTACTTTGTAAAAAGTCTTGCATGAATGTGTGCGACAAAATACTTGCCTGAATTGCAGCGAGGTCGCGCTCCATGCCAGACAGCTTGCGCTGCAAGGCCATGACGCCGGCGAGGTCGTTGCCCAGCTCCTGTGTGGACTCGATGACTTTAGTCTTCTCGCGGATCCACGCTTTAGTTTCGTTGCACTCCAGGTGGAAGTTCTGGATGCTCAGGGCGGAGCTCAGTGCTTCTTTCTTTTGGTCCACAAGCTCTCGGAAGTCGCTCCAGCTGTACAAAACAACCATAATTAGATCTTGACTTAAAAGCTTTCGTGACTGCAGGAATTCACATTCTTGGTTTTTAAAAACTACAATTGTCTTGATCGTGTACAAATGCACTTATGTTATATCATACAACACACTAAAATGTTCATGAAGCAAATATAAAAATTGAGTGTTTGCTGCATATTTATGAATATATAAATAAAGTTTGCTCATGCACTTACACAGAGTTGAGATGATCCTGCTTAGCCTTGATGTCTTGTTCGCTTGGGTGTCCCGCATGCATGAGCTGCCGAGCCAGTTGGTTTACGACTGCTATCCGAGAAGCCTGGCTGTTCATCTCTGGTTCAAAACCTTCAAACCTGTCACAAGCAACAAGCCAATTGATTTAGCACTAGAAAGCAATTACATGACAATTATGACTCTAAACAACCACTAACTGTCAAAATAATTTACGGAAGCAATTTCAACTGCCTATTTTCTTTCAGGACCAGACTTTAATTGTGATGGGTGGTTTGCCTCGAGCAAAGAATTCCATCCTACTGTGGCACCTCTGAGAAGGGGAACACTCAATCATGATTCCATCCACAGGTCCACGCATGCCCTCCCAATCAAACGTCATATCATCCAGTTTGCTAAAGCCAGACCTCACGTTGACAATCATGACCACGTTACATCCTATTCTCAAGTCCCTCCATTGGCTTCCGACACGTTCCAGGATAGAGTACAAAATCGTCATCACTTTTTTTAGAATCCTTCACGGTTATGCCCCTCCACATCCCTGCTTAGACTGTCCTAATTATGCCCTTTGTTACAACAGTTCAGCCCTGCTAATCACACGCCAATCATACCCTCAAGCATTCTCTTCTGCTGCCTCCGCAGTCTGGAATTTCCTCCTTTGTTATCTAAACATCTGACTCTTTACCCTGTACAGTACTTTGCTCAAAGAACATTTCCTTCTCTGATTATGATTGATCACCTACAATTACAGCTATGTTATATATTTATTTAAATCTAACACTATTGTCAACTCAACCTTGATTTGAAGCTTTCGCGACTGCAGGAATTAATACTCTTTGGTTCTTTTGGTAAAGTCACGGAGATAACTAATTTTCTATGTACGTGACTTTACCGAAAGAACCAAAGAGTATTGTAACTCAATGTTTCTTAAATGTTACTATAATCATTAATGTTCTGTAAAGCAACTTGACATTTACATTTGGACGCTATCAAATGTTCTGAAGAGCCGGCCTTACCTGTGCTGAATAACCTCCAGATCCTCGAGCTTTTCGGGCACATCCATGGCATTGAGCCACTGGCTCTTCTCGTCAATCCACAGCTCGCAGGCCTCCGCCTCACTGTACATCTTGTAGAGTGCCAGGGCATCCTGCAGCCGCTGCTTGCGCACGCGCGACAACTCCACGAGCTCGCGGTAGCGCTGCTCCAGAGCCTCCAGGCGGTCCGGCACGCCGGCGCTGACTGTCACCTCATCTGGGAGCCCCTGCGCCTGCTCGTGCAGCGCATCCAACACAGGCCTGCAACGAGCACCGCGGTATGAGGATTCTCGTAGGTTGTTAAATAAACTCTTTATCCTCTTGTATAAGGCTGCTACGAATATACAATCTATCATGGCACCAGTGTTAAGACTCTGCTTATACTTGCAGAAGAGTGTAAAATGCTTTGCTTGGCCTTATGAAAATTACAAATTGTTGTATCGCTGAATGAAAGCCTGTGTATATTTTTCCATGGAAAATCCCTATATTGTGCGTAACCTGTAAGCATGTTTCTCTGCCCCACGGTTTGTCCCCTCGACCCCTGACCTGTAGCTGGAGATCTCCTCGGTGACGTCCTTGTGCTTCTTGTTGAGCGACTGAGTAGAGAACTCGTCGTGGCCCATCTCGTCGCTGGAGACGATGCGCAGCGTGTCCTCCATCCACACCTCTATGTCATCGGCGTCTGCCTGGAACTGGTACAGGCTCTCGGCCACCTGCAGTCGCCGCTTGCGCTGCGCCGCCAGGTCCTCCAGGCTGGCCCACAGCACGTGCATCTCGGCGACGCGCGCGCGGATGTCGTCGGCGCCGAAGTGTCCCGCGTCGGCCATCTCCTCGCCTTCGCGCACCGTCTGCTTGAGATCGGCCGAGCGGCCGTTGAGCTCATCCTCGACGGCGCGGTGCTGCCCCAGCAGGCGCAACACGCCCGTCAGGTCCTTGCCGACGTCGCCCGACGACAGCAGCGGCTCCTTCTCGCGCACCCACCCCTCCAGCTCAGCCATCTCCCAGAAGAAGCGCCACAGCTTGCGAGACTCCTCCAGCTTGGAGCGCCGCTCGGCGGCCAGCGAGCACAGCTCTGCATAGCGCTCCTCCAGGTGTGTAGCCCGCTCGCTGACCACGTGCGGGTCGCACGGCTTGTACGCTGCATGGAGAAGGGCACACCCTTTTAATGCTTGAGATGGTCTAATCCAGTTCTAACTTCACTGATACGCTGTTAGTGGAAAAACACACATTGCTGCCTTACTCAGCTGATAATTTTTTGTTGCTCGCACAGCCTAAAATGGCCTTTCCCCTGTGATCCATGTTCTCATAACCCTCTTTTAAAAGTTACTAAAGGTGTTTGTTTTTACGAGCTAATTATTCCCTAAAATCTTCCATTCATTATGCCTGTTCACTTCATATAAGTGGAAATTGTGTAACACTTATACTCTGTATTCACATTGTGAAAATCATATTGACAATGCCATCAGCGCCAATGTGATTATTCCTTCCCTCTTTCTCATGTTTAAATCATCAGGAAAATTTCATATTTTGACACTGCTATGCATAATCAAGTAGTACCATCAACACCGAGCTAATCCAAGAGTTACATCCTTCAACTGCAATAAAGCGTGACCTGGCATGTAAGAAACGTTAACCAAGCTCACCATCGTCTTCGCTGGAAAACCTTTGTGCCGCTGCATTGACGGCCTTGACTCTGTCAGCCTGCACGGTGATGTCGGCCTCCACCAGTGCATGCTTTTGCAGCAGGTCCTCCACGCCCAGCAGGTGTTTGCCGTAGTCTTGTGAAAGCAGCCGCACCTACAGCCAAAATAGATTTCAGCATCAGCAGTGTATACACTGCGCCCTCGTCTGCAGGAATTGGCAGTTTACACATAGCCAGGGTCCAGTGGGTCACTTGAGAGAGGGAGCGTCTGTGTTGAAATAACATGCGGATTATTATTCTAACGTGTAGAGCATAACGACGTAGGTAAACAAGCCGGCTGAGGACCTTTTCTCCTAGTGCGCACACGATTACCTCTAAAGCATTCGTGCACTTGTCATCACGAAGCCAAGCCATTGTTGTGAGTTTCTTTTTGTCCTTTGCCAAGATTGCGCACGACGCACGCCGTCTCGCCTTCGTGACGACGGTGCAGAGCGCCTCACCTTCATTTCATCCATCCAGTCGACGATGTGCAGCATCTCCTGGAAGACGCGCTGTAGAGCGAGGTTGGCCTCGAGGCGGTGGCGCCGTGCCGCCAGCAGCTCCTGCAGGTACTCCCATAGGCGCAGCACGTTGTCGCGCCGCGAACACACGCGGCGCACCTCGTGGTAGTCCTCGGCCTCCAGCTCACGTGCCACGTCCACCACGGCCTGCACGCGCTCCTCGTAGGCCGCGATGTCGGCCTCAATCGCCTCGTGCTTCTTGGTGGCCGCCTCCACGGCCGGCAGGTCCACGCCAAAGTTGTCCTGATTGGCGGAGTGGGTGGTATGATGAGATACATCACAATCGAAACATTGCAGTTCATGTTTACATTTTCTTTTTAATTTGGTAGATGGATGGAGAAAAAATACTTTTCTTCATGAAGTGGCTACAAAGGAAGAAATGAAAAACGATTTAGCATAGGGAAAAACTAAAAAAATCAGACCAAACACATTAGAGCATTAGCTTTTTTTCCCACCATATAATGGCAAAAACTGCCTTTATAATATTTGGCGAATTTGGCCCTAAAACTTAAATAATTCCAAATGTATGATTGCATAAAGTGACATTACAATTATTATTGGGCATATAACCATTCACACCCACCCAGAGAAATGTAATTAAATGTCAGTATTCATGGTTACGTTTCAATAACATTCATTTTTTACTGCTGTGCAGCAGCTACGATGACTTCAGGGTTTATTAGAAAGGTAAAAAATGTGGCCCCGTAATCACTTGCTCATGCCACTGGTGGCAAAAGGGCCTCCCACAAGAGCAAACTCTGTAGGGTTTTAACATATTCTAGCTAACCAAAATGACAAATATCGATAACTTACAGCCATTTGTGAATCCACTGCTGGACTCTCAAAACCCGGTAGCACCTGCACAGGAGCTGATTCCATCGCTGTATCTTCCAGTTAGGACATACTCTCACGTGCGTTCTCTCCCTTGGCCGTCACCGCAATTAGTTTTGACCACGGGCCATCAACCATTCTTGCGACGTGCCCTAATTGTCGAATAATTGGCTGCCTGATAAGTATCCGTACTTAATATGAAGCAACCCACCCTAGTGGCCGTGCGCTGCTCACGAACCTGTGTGACGAGGCGCTGGTTCTCGCTGAGCCAGGTCTCGCGAAGAGCCGCTTTGCGGTCAAAGCGTCGAGCCAGCTGCTCCAGCTTCTCCTGTCGGATGAGCTCGTTCCGCAGAGCCAGCTCCCGTTCGTGCTCCGCCTTCTCCAGGCGCTCCCAGGCCTGGCCGCCATGAGTGGGTTAGAATTTACCGAAGGTTATTATCACAAGTTGAAAGTGTTTCAATGCATACAGTCGTCGTTACACAGCACGCCACTTGAAGGCACTTTTGCTCTTTAAAAATGTGAACAAAATGTAGCGTTCAAAACACCTCGTTGCCTTGTAAGGATTTATTTTCTTCAGAATGGCAATTTGAGCTGCAGCTTAATGCAAAGCAGATATGACCAAAATTAATGGAACTTATTGAAAAGTAGATAATACATTTACACAAGATATTCTTAGACATAATTATCATCTTAACACGTAGGCTGTCGCGACCAATATCATCCATAGGAGTTTTTTTTGGGTTAGATTGCGTAAATATATAAAAGTGTCGTTAAAACCCGCGAAACGTCGTACTCAGTTTGTGAATATTGTGGCTTGGCTCTCCAACACAGCGGTGTGCTGCACTAGTAACGAATTGGCCACGTTCTGTTTACGTGACAACCCTTACTAGTTGGCTGTGTTGGGTTGTGGCGGGTTTTAATGACACATTTATATATTTACGCGATCTAACCCAAAAAAACCTCTATTATGGATAATTATCATCGATAGCTAGGGCTGGCTTGGATAATATAAACAAAGGTGTAGAGGGTGACTCCTAACAAAGCACAGTTTACATCACGCTCCCGCTACTGGAACTCGCTCGTTAAGAGAGTGGTGATGGGTGGCGACGGCACCTTGTTGATCTCGTTGACGAGCTTGCCTTCCCGGGGAGTGTACACCTTCTGGTTGTTTGCTCTCATCTTGCTCTGGATGGTGAAGAGAAGTACCTCCAGGTTCCCTTTCTCTGTGAATCTGAATGAATGATGAATAAATTAGAAAACACCTATTATAGGCAGTAGGACACCTTTTTTTTTACAAATGGGACGGTATATACAAATGCGCATAAATATATACTCACTTCAAAGAAGGTTCGTCCATGGTCATATCAGTTTGCATGTTTACATATACATATAAATACACGCTCATACATGTGTGTGCATGCCATTGAGTTTTTCGAGCTGAATTATACATGTATGTTGCATTAAGAGCAAGCATTGAAGCCTTTTACTTATAGAGCCTTATTAAATATGAATTGTGTCCGTATGTCAAAGCAATGCATAATTTAACAGACAGAACAAGCTGCTTTGTGCTCAATCTTTGTGTTCTTGATTTTATTGTATGGACAAAGGCTTACAAATTGAGGGGAAAAACACTGATTATAAGTGATTATAAGATAAGTCTTCAAGTGAGTACATAGAACATTAAAGCCTTTAAAATTATGAAGATAGATGTACCCACACATTTTTTTCTCCATTATTTATTGATATACATAATCTAATTTTCAAAAGCGACATACATGAACTTACAAAAACTGCAACGGGTATTTTTTTTTTAGTTGCGAAAAATGTTCATACATGCAAATGAGCCGAGTCGTGTGCACATTGATCATTATTCGGCTGACAATACACAAAAAATAAAGGTGGTTGGCTGCGTACTTATTTGGCTTCTCCACGGTGCGGTAGGTGCTGAAGGCTTGCAGCTGCTGCTGCACCCCGGTTAGAGAGTTGGCAAATTTGCGGTTGTTGAGAATGATGATGGTCTGCTCAATCCACTCCAGCAGTTCCGATGCCAGCGTCTCATACTTATCAATCATCTGGTCTGTTTCAATGGCACTTTCCAGCACCTAGTGGGGAGGAGCACGGACGTCACAGAGTCGGTGAAAATCTGTGATGGAAACTTTTGCCATTGAATTTTGATGGAAACAAAAAAACATTGACAATGGCGGAAAAAAATATCATACCTTTCCAATGCGCTTGCCCTCAACAGCCAAGGCCTTCATCTTGGAGAAATAATGGTAGTACGTGACTACGTAGGTGATGATGGACTTCTCATCAGGTTGGTCCACACTGATGTCTAGAAATTCAATATGAGTGTTTAACGTACATGAAGTAAGCAAAGCAGCCATACAAATCAACAGAGGATAATTTCTCGAATGACTCACAAACAAAATCTCTCACTCTTTTCGTGGAGAAGAATAAAAAGTCATACCTTCAGGATCAAGAAGCTTGGTGAGCCCGAGTTTCTGCTCAGCGATGTTGAAAGCATTTTGCAGATTGTGATGAGCATTGGACTTCTTCAGTTTGTCAAACTCAATCAGATCAGGCCTACAAACAACAGGTAAAAAAACAGATTTGTCAAGCAGAATATTTTTTTTATTAAATGCGTGCTACACAGGAATATTTTTACAGATATAATTTGACCCTTAGATTTGATATATATCTGAGTTATAATGCTTAGTGCTACCGGAAATGATTTTTCACATCACCTAAAATAGTTCTGGAACATTTTATGCAAAATAAAAGTATTTATCAACCATCACCCAGCTACACTGACACAAACGTTAGAGAATTGACATTTTATAATCTAAATTCACCATGTGTAGCACTGTTATTGTAACACTCTGCAACCCACTTTCACATATTTACTCTCAACATATGCAAATTAAATTCCTTGCACTGCCAGACTACACAAATAGTGACGATTTTAACATTATTTTACGAGTCTGCATTCCTTCTCAAAACGAAACCTAGGGGGTGTTACCTGTGTTTGTGGACGATGGCATTGAAGGCCAGACCGTCCCGCCAGCTGGTCGTGAAGTTGTGTATGTTGACATTCTGGTATCTGAAAAAACATAACATTGCATACATTGTGAGTACAAATGATACACCAGGCTCTGCTTTCAGAACAAACATTGTACAATCAAAGCCAGAAAAAAGGGGAGGGTAATTTAATGAAACAGGATGTAATGAGCACTTTGGCCCTGCTAACAAGAAAGTGCTAAAAGACTCCTGTCACATGTCAGGCAGCGTCTGGAAATGATCCAACTCATTTTGAATGGCCAGTTGTCTTATTGGAGGGTCGACTGCGGGGGTGGGTAGAGGTCCCTTTAAAAAATAAATGTCCTCGCTACTTCAAAGTATAAAATCAAGTCTAAAAACCACCTGGGGGAAAAGCATGGGTAGTGCCACCCTTTTTAAATCAACAATTCATAATGGCCACGTGAATAACACACGTTCACTTCTGTTGTAAAAACATTGTCGGAAGAGCTTACCCAGCTGTTTTCATTTGACACCACAGGAGTAAGGCGTCCTTAGCGGATCTTCTCTCCTTATTGTCTTCGGTTTCCACGCTGATGTCTTGAATCTGATTGACATGAGGTTACACGACTGTCTAAAAGACCTGCAGCAGGCTTCATTCCTTTTTCTTTTTTTCAACTTAAATTATTGTACCACAAATGTAAAAACATCAGATTTGTTTTGTTAATGAAAGCATATGCAAACATATGTTAATGGGTATGAATACTGCAAGGAACATAATGATTGTCAATATCTCCTAAGACAGCCGAGACCAAAGCAATTGACAAAATAAAAAAGTCGATTCAAATGGAACCAAAACTGTATGTTTTAACCGATAGTTTCTTTGTCAATATATTTTAAATTGCGAATGAAAATAATTGCTTGTGGTTCATTGAAAATGTACGTAATATTACGTCCAGCAATTATTTCCCCAGCTTAGATCATGACAAATATAAAATTGGGCACCACCTATTATTGTCCGGCCAATCCAATAAAATAAAAAAATATTTTATTACCTAATCATTGATATTGTTATTTCAGTCAGGTTGGTGTAGTCCAATGAAATGCCAACACGACAGTAAAATATGTCAGTGGGCTTTATCCTCTGTGTAGTTACATAAACAGGTTTACTACAGGACAGGCTGCACATTCAAACTCAATAATGCAGGTGCACAGTGTATCAGCAGATATTAAAACCTCACAGTTGCCAATGCTGACATACAGTACGTTGGAAATTCCACCACATAACTACTCTAAAATACGCTCTCTCAATTCACAAGGTTGTGCTATGCTTTTAGAAGCACATTTCATTTAAACTGCTCCCTCTGTATGCATTCAATAAAATCACGCTCATGTACGCATTGTAACTGGTGCTTTAGGGCTATCATGAAATGAAACGTTAAAAAGGTATAGCTGTAAATCTTTCCAAACTCACAACAAAAACCGAGCTGAAAGTTTTCTGTGGGCAGTTGTAATTTTCATGCATCATTTGTGCGTCCGTATCCTTAGAGGCCCAGAAGAAACACAGCTGAAGTAATTTAAATTACCTCCATTTCTCAAAAAGTGCAGAGGCTTACAAAAGCTCTTGTTTGCTGCCAAGGGATAATTTTAAAAGTTTAAAATAAATATTTGTGTTGGTCGAATGGAAGAGACTGTGCAAAACTGAAAACCAAGGGATTCATCTGCATTTCAGTATCCTGCCCAATGTCATACCCAAATGTAATTAGTCTAACGGTCATGTTGAATATAAAGACACCAGCGCTGAATTAAGAGACGTGTAGTAAACTACATGGGAATTAGTCATTTATCTAACTGCAGCGGTTATAAGAAATACTTTTTGATACGATGCATATGGAGAACAAAGTAAGCATAGAATGTAAAGGGTTTGAAAATTAACACGATGCACAAAACGGTGTAAGTGTTCGCATGGTGGGCATCACAAGCAGTTCCGTTTTGCACAGACAAAAGGCAAACGGGCACCTGGAAACGCAGGATGATGGTCCAGATGAGGCCCAGGATGAGACGGTGGTTTCCATCCACGATGTCGTGCGAGCCCATGTTCTCCAGGTGCACCTTCTGCTCCTTGAGGAACTGCAGCGCCTTGTCCACATTCTCGAGGCAGTGGATGCGCATCTTGCCACGCGTCGGCTTGGGCTGGGGGTGGCACAGGTGCACGCACACGCGTGTGTAGGACTTGATAAGAGGCATGCGTACATTTCTGCTTGGCATAGCTGACTGAACACACCTGTCTGCTTGACACGGGTGCATATTTTATGTACTCAAGACTCATCAGAAGTGTTTTTAATTTGCAAAGTAAATTTAAAAAAAACAATGTAAAATTGTTCCTCTACAAGGAAAGGTTTCCCCAAGAAATTCCATAAAAACAGTGCCAAGTGACCAAAGCCTTTCATCTCACTCTTTATCCTCACGTTTGTACATGTGTGAGCTGAACAGGAAGTGAAAATGGTAGCCATAAGAGAAATGTGGGATTTTTTTCCTCACTCAACACAACAAATGCCTAAAAAAAAAATCAAAAGAGCATTCCTGTGATGTGATGGATGTGCATGTAAACTCTGGCTTTTAAAGGAAGAGATGTGGAATTGGCCCAAGAGATATGATTCATAGTTTTACCATCCATTCTCTACCATCATGAGTGTTTTTTTGTTACCAGTTATACTTTCAAAACATCTCTTTCCTAAGTTTTTGACTTTTCAAATAATATTTCCTTAATGTAATCACTGAGTGGTACATTTTCACAAGCATCCTTGAATCCAGTGCAATGAACTGAAACTATTAGCAGATGAAAATTTACTGAATACAACATGAAGCAGCAGATTTAACATGCCGTGTTTTCTTTAGAGCGAAAGGCTAAGTTTGACTTTTGTGCTAAAGGTGCACCTAATTTTAAACCAACATTTTATTATTATGGTTGAAGTAAATGCCAAAGAATTTACCTGCATGGTACTCAGTGCAACCAGTTTATCTGGTTTTTCTAATTGACTGCATACTTTACTCCGAACTTCTGAACAATACAAAGAAGGATGTATAGCTATGACTATAGCATTGTGTACTGTTCTATTTTAACTCTGAGCCTCAGACACGCTCACCAAACCCAAACGATCATACTTGGGATGACTGGGATGGAGGTGAGATAGCTTGAAACATTTTAAAGCACAGCTGCTTGATCACAGCCCAAGCCATCTTCATTAAAGATACCCTCTCTCACACATTTCATCTGACAATACTTTCTAAATGCAATAAGAGTGCGCTGGACTTCATTTTTTTTATTTTGGTGCCAAGGTGACCCGCTCTTGCTTTACTCACCAGCTTCTCCCCAGATAGGACCTCGAGGAGCTTGATGAGCATGCGGCCATCGCGCAGGTCCGTGTAGAGGTCGGTGATGCGGCAGGATACGCGCGCCAGGTGAGAGTTCACCCACTTGGTGAAGGTCTTCTTCTGTACAGCCTCACGCTCATCTTTACACCGCCATCAGGCCAAACACAGGGTGAGTGGGAGGACATGAGGAATGTGTCTAACATTTCCATTTTCCCGCTTGACCTTGTCTCACAGCAGTTAAAAACGCAATTCACTTTAAACAGTGGCATTTGTTAATAATAAACCATTGACTTTGAATGCTGTCACAGTGCTCCTGGTCTTTAACTTGGGTTTATATACATACGATTCAAGTGAAACAAACACTGCAGATTCATTTTGGATTACAATGACATCCAGCCCTGCTCAGGCTGGGATTTTCAGTGTGCCTTTTCAGAACAAATGTTTTGAGGTGGGTGACTGGTGGTGTGTGTTTGGGTAAGAAGCAGCTCAAGTTGATCCAATAAGATCATGCTGCTGTCTGGCCATGGGCAATAGAATGTTTTTGTTTCCAGAGGAATTCAAGGAAACTCTCTGCTATTTAATGATTTATTATTTTTAACAAAACCCATTAAATCATACTAAAATTCGGAGCCATGTGGTTTGATGTAACAATGTTTGAGTTTTCATTTAAAGCTTTCGTGACTGCAGGGATTCATATTCTTGGTTATTTCGGTAAAGTCACGAAACGTTGTGAGAATTGTATTGTTTTATATTTTTATTATTTTATTGTTTCCCTTCTACGTGACTTTACCGAAAGAACCAAGAATAGGAAAATGTTTTAGTTTTTCATATGGACTTAAAAGGAATGCCTTAGATCGAACATTTTCCAATCTTTCCTTGATCCACCATTCCTTATTAATACGAACCTACTGAATGTCGTATGTGATCAGAATTGTCAATGGCAAATAATAAATTATTAAATGTTTTGAACTTCAAAACAAAATTCAAGCCAAAGGAAATGACATACTGCAGGGCAAGTTTGGAAAATGTATCAGCATGCTTTTACGTTTAAATTGATGTCGCCTTCCCACGAGTTCATTCATCCAATTTCTCAGTGTTCCACCGCCCTTGGCTGCACTGTACGTGAAATCGGTATTTTGCCATCTCACCTCTCAGCCCCTCCCTATGTCTTTGAAAGTAATCCCCCTATCAGCAATAGCAAATACCGACACACACACACAAAAAAAGTGTTGAAAAAAAATAAGCGCCAACAAACGGAACCTTGAAAATAAGCACGCACCCCCGACACTAGAAATACTGCAATTCACAAGTTTCAGAAGGAAGTGTGTCTGCTCAAATGAGGGTGGTGGGGCCGTACCCTGAGTCCTGTGGGCATTCCATAAAGCTACAGCCAGAAAGAGTCTAGCCAAAGGACAGCCACTGTAAATTTAAATTGGTTAAGTTTCTGTTAAATATTTGAAATATCCCTCAGTACTGTGCCACTGATTGTTTCCATCTACAGCAAAACTTAATGGAAACTTCAGAACACACCAGTAACCAATCCATTCTCGTGAGAGATCAAATAAGCTTAAGCCGAATTTAAACCACCTTTTTAAAATTTGATGTTTTACACCCAGTTAATTCACTGCTGCATGCATTTAAGCAGAAATACAACTTTTCACTATTCCTTCCTTTCCACTCGACTTGCTTTTAAATGTATTACTTATCAAAGCAAATTACAACATACGCAGCAACTGCTGTTTATTTTGCCACGGTTTTGCCTTGGCAATTGTGGAGTGTGATTATCGTGTCATCGGTTTGGATGACACGATAATGGAAACCCTCATGTGTTCAAGGTTGTTGCTATTATTTTTTTTATACGAAGGTCGAATGTGTTTTGCCCTCAAAAATAACCTACCTGCAATTTTGGCTAGAGTATATTTACATTTTTAAAAAGAGGCGCATCCTATCCACTAAAGGTAATGTGTTCAATGACACCATATTTATGCATTTGAGTTTTGTCAACAAATTTATCGACCAGGATCTTGTCCCTTCAAAGTTATGATCTGCATAAAACAAGATGTGGATGTCACAACTTGTTTGCACCAGACTATGCTCATAAATATGCATAGGCGTTATAGATTGTAAATTATGCAAACACCATTTGGGTGCAGCTGGCAACATCTAGGTTGGGTACAACGTCCAAATTTTTCACGGGGCCCTTCCCATTTGAATGCAACGGTCACAGAGGGTGGCCATGGTTGTTTTTTGCCACGAGTGTGCCCATTCTTCCTGTTGCCCCGTGTTGCCCCCAGTGAATTTGCAACTGCCCCGTGGGCAGGGGAGAGCAGCGTGCTTCACTATCAGGCCCCATGTGATTAGTGGGCCACCAACACTTGTTGGAAGGATCACATGTTGGTCCCAAGAATTAGATTTTTTAAAATGGTGTATTTCACGCATGATGTTGTAACATTTGTGCTCGCACTTACTTGCCTTGTGATATTTAACACTTTATGGGATTAATTTACAATTACGAGGCATGTTTGTACATTTTAAGTAATTGAACTTCTAAAATTAGTTCAGTATTGAAGTGCAGTAATTCATCTAATAATTAGAATAAAAGGGTCCGGTGGTGCCATTAGACCCTTAGGTGGTTGAGTAGTTGGGTGGGGCATATCATTTGAAAGGCTGAAGCTTTTCAAGTGGACTGAAAATCCGGGTTTACGTTTCTATATACAGAAATGACAGCACTGACAGAGTACCCATTTACAAAAAAAACAATATTATTTTCTAGCAGCACATAATGAACACCTCAATAACTCGTATTACTCCTGGTATATTCACGCATATTTGCGAATACTAGAGGGAGACATTATATTCGCATCAGGGGAGAATAACGCATATTACCAGGCTGAGAAAATACTGTATTGTCACGTGCACGTACGTACATACATACAAGAGGCATTCAAGTAAAACGCCATCTTGCAGTGGCATCACGAAGGCATGCAAAACCTAAAACACTTCTCATGGCTGTTCCCCTCCCCCACACCTTCTGAATCACCGAGCCGTAAGCTCTCTCTCTCGCTCGCTCCCTAAGATGGTTGACACGCAGGTGAACGCAGCGAGTGCGGCGATAAATTAAAGCAAAATCTCTCGTCGTTCCCAGTGCCCTTGTGTAAGCTCGGTGATAATGGGGTGATTCGTTTCATCACCCGCGGTGTGTTATGGGCCGAGATGTGGGGGCGGGGGGGGTTTCTTTCAACCACCAGAATTAAAAGCATCCACGCACTTGCGGCATAAACACCTCCTCGCCCCAACCAACAGATATATAATTTCAAACCAAAATACGGTAACATTGATTGTTATGATTTTGATAGGGGGAATGCTTGTGCACAGTTTAGACCAGCCGACACGGTCCCCGTATCCGAACGAGACGTCTCGTACATTGCTTCTCAAGTGTCTGCAGCTTACTCGAGACCCCGTTTTCAATGAATGCACACCCAAGTGGAAAAAGAGCACTGCTCAATTACCAAGTGAAACTAATGTCTAAGCTGTGCCTTTGCGAATTCAACAATGTATATACAGCATATGTGGCTTTACGCAGAGATGCGGAAGTCAAATCTATATAACTCTTTAACATTTCAGATTTGGAGCACATTTTCTCCATTGCATCTAGATACCCAATCCAGTCACTTTCCTTGTTAAAAATTACATTTCTTGTATACATACTTTTTTAAGCGCAATTCATAATCGTACTTTACTTTATTCGCGTTTTATTAAATTCAAGTTAGTCCAGATGTGTTACATTTAAGGGACGTTTTAAAAATTGTGTTGCTAAAATGTCTCCGACCCAGGTCGCCCTTGTAATTGAGGTAATGTTTTATGCATATCAATGGGTTTATCATCTGTTGATTAAATAATGGATACCGAATGATTTAAACATGGAACAGTGTTAAGACTACAAATGGAATTATTGTTGGCGATTCCATTTCATGACATAAGTGCCCAGTTTACATACACAATTGACGTACTTGGGAGGGGACTTTGGGAGTTCTCAATGAATTTGTAATGTTTCACTTCTGAAGCCTTTGTTACACATAGTTGCGTCCAATCACCAAACACATTTGAGCGCAATATTTGGCCATGACTGCATGTGCTAATTGGCTTATTTTGAACAAGAGTATGCATCAAAGCAGCATTATTGTCGCCACTTGTCTTGAATGACATCACTATTCAGCAGTGTATTGCATAAAATATTGGGAATTTTTTTTTAAAGCGTGCTATGACAACGCCGGTGACCTTCTGAGGATCAAATTCGATGGCTCATTTACTCACAACAGGGCTGCTGCGCAAGTCAAAGCCCCGCATGCAGGACCTTCAAGAACACGGGTGTCTTCTCATAGGGCGATTCGGCAATACATGCAACATCGCAGGGTTAATGACAGTGCTGCTAAAGGTTCAGTTGTTACTCCGGAAAGCTGACAAGCCGGGTCAGTGGGTGCCTAATTCAAACATTCGTAGCAGAGGACGCTTTGTTGAAGGGCGTCCCATAAGGTGTTGTGGTTAAAACAAAAAAATTCATGGAACAAAAATGCATAGTTTCCTGAAGACGACCGCTTGTGTTGCGATCGAAACGTCGTAGTTTTTGTTATTTTCTTTGAACCTATCTACGTGACTTTACCAAAAGACCCAAAGAATATGTGTTCCAACTGCATTTAGGTTGCATTTTCTTTTCTTGCTCTGGCGGTGTCCCGATGAGGTGCACACCTTTCTAATAACAGCTCTTACATCGTTAGACCTCTTTTGCCAGTACCAAAATATAATAATAGGGTTTTTCCCCTTTTTTTCTGGAAACAAAACTGAAACCTTTTTACAAGGATTCATGTCTGCATTAACCACAATACCTGCAGTCAAAATGCAACCAAAACACATACTATGATAATATATGCATTGTCCTTTAAACTGATTGGTCCACACCAAGGGACGGCTTTCTTTTGAGCCTCGACCCAATTGGGCATCATCTGGTCGGGCACCAATTGGATCGAGGCTCAAAAGAAAGTCGTCCCTTGGTGTGGACCAATCAGTTTCAAGGAAAAGGCATATATTATCATAGTATGGTATTTTTTGCATTTTGACTGCAGGTATTGTGGTTAATGCAGAC